TTACACCCTGCCCTCCTCCAAGGTGCACTCTGTCCTATGAAATGCCAGCCTCAGACAAGTTTACTCTGAAACTATACCTGGTGACACACAGCAAGACCACGCTGTCATCCCTTCAGAACACAAACCAGAAACAAAATAAAACGAAAAACCACAGTCACGGTGCCACCCACAAAATACCAGACACCCTTTATTTTGACCAAAAGCAGTGACTGTTACTTTTTTCTCCTTCCTCCTTCCTTCCCTCCCTCCTTTCTTTTGTCCTCTCTCTCCCACCTCGTTCTTTTGCTGAATGAACCCAGGGCCTTTGTGCTGAGATACATCTCCAGCCCTTTTAAAATTTTTTTCTTTTGAGAGCGTTCCATTGAGTTGCCCAGGCTGGACTTACACTTGCAATCCTCCTGCCTCTGCCTCCCAGAGTGCTGGGATGACAGGTGTGCGGCACAATGCCCAGGTGCCTCCCCCACTCCCAGTCATAGTTTTATTCTCATCTTAGTCTCCCCTCTTGGTCAAGATATTCAGTCAACTATGCTGTACTTTCTGACAGTATTTGTAACATATGAAATGTATGGGGGAGGGGGAACCAGCAGAGACCACCAGGCTTGTGTAAAGGCAACATGAGTGGACTTCATTGTGCCTGGGTGCAGGCAGAGAGCCGGTAAGACCATAAGACCGTCTGCCCTGAACAAAGAATGTCCCTTTACAGGGATGGAGAGAGGGCAGGGGATGTTTGGCGGGAAGATTTTAATAAACATCTGTGGTCAGAGTTCTCTGGCAGTCTTGCATCTCAGTGGGCAGAGTGCTTGAAGGCCTGTTCTAAGTGTTCGGGAGTCCCCGGATGTCCCGGGGCTGCAGAATCCCTTGTCCCGTCTTCTTTCCTGTGCTTGGTGATGGCAGCCTCAGCGCTGAGCTGAGTTCCCTGCGGACAGCAGCGCCTCTGCTGGCATGCACCCTGGGGGCTGGGAGTTAGGGCCCATTCAAGCCTTCTAGTGTTAATCTAGAGTGAAACTTCCCTCTTTAGACCCTTCTTAAACCACCCAGCCCAAGTCTAAGTGCCATGGCGGGTTTATTTACGGAGAGGCCCGGCGATTCCCCGAGGGGTGCACTCTCCCTCTCTGCAAAGCACAGCGAATCCAAGCTGTTCCACCACAGGTGTGTGCCTTGGGGTTTGGGTTGGAGAACGTTAGGGACAGTGCTCTTTTCTTCACCCTTACCCTCTTTGGTGATACAAAGAAGGCAGGGAGTGCTATGCGAAGGGACAGGCCGGTCAGCATTCTCTCAGTGAGTATTTATGGTAGAATTTTTAGAAGTTTTTTTGAGACAGGGCCTTGCTATGTAGTGTAACCTGGCCTTGAACTCACAGCAATCCTCCTGCCTCAGCCTCCTGAGTCCTGGAATTACAGGTGTGCACCACCATGCCCAGCAGCAAGTCTCTATAGAGCACCCCCACACGCCGCAGATTGCACTAGGTTGCAAGGATCATGGGAAGGGCAGCAAGATTCCTGCGTCTTCTGGAAGCTCTCCTTGGGGTGACTTGTGGAGATAAGTTTGACACCAAGCTTTGCCTGGGGGCTGCTGCGGGCTCACAGAGGAGGGGCAGTTAAAGCAGGCTTTCTGGAGCCCGTGCACTGAGGGCGCTGGAGGGTGAGGACAGTCTCAGGACAAGAAAGGAAAGCAGGTCAGGGAGATGGTGAACAGTGTGTGTGTGTGGGGGGGTTATGCAGTTTGTTCTCACAAGAGCAGAAATGCTGTAGGAGGCAGGCAGGGAGTGGGGTTCAGGCTAGGGGCACTCACAAATCACAGCATGGAGTTCAGTCCTTTAGAGAAATGGGCAGTATGGAAAGTCCAGCAAACTTTGGTATGCTCAGATTAGATTTTAAGGAAACATTTGAATGTCTGGAACTTTCTTTAAAATGCATATATTTGGTGGGTGTGGTAATCCCAGCACTCAGGAGGCTGAGGCAGGAGGACTGCAGCTAGTCTGAGGTCAGCCTGAGCTACATAGAGAGTTCAAAGCCAGCTTGAACTACATAGTGAGACCCTGTCTCAAAAAATAAGTAAAATAAAAAAATAAAAATAAAAATAAGTAAAATGCTGATGACAGACGCTAGGCGGTGGGTGTTTAGGCGTCACTGCAAAGCAGTCCGACTCAGAATTCTGTCTGTTGAAAATGTTCCAGGGCCGCTTTGGGAAGCAGTTTCTTTGGCGTTGGTCCTGGAGCGCGATGGCGCCGAACGGGTCCGGAGGCGCGCAGACGAGGGGCAGCCCCAGGGCACCCGCGGCGGGAGCGGGGACCCTGAGCGCAGCGCGCGGAAGGACGCGGCCGCCCTCCGAGACCTCCGCACTCACGTCG